ATCCTCAAGTTCCTCAAATGGGAGCAGTCGATCCTTTCGGTTACGGTGCCCCGCAACCTATCATACCAGCACCGAGACCGACCTACAACCCACCAACGTATCCCAAACCGAAACCAACACCTAGCAACTCTAAGATCACAAACCTTAAGGGTCCATACGTCTTTAATGGAAAGCCAGGCGACAATGTCTATGTGCTAAGAGACACATACAATTCTATATACTCAGATGCTCTTCAAAACTTCTACCCTTAAAATGTAATTGGTACTCATAGGATATAAATGAATGGCTCGTATCGAGCTTGTGTTTAGAAATACAATTTTGATTAATTTTTCTCAATGGTGCAATCAGCTTTTTTTTCTTTTAAATATATAGTTATGTATCGTCATTAATTGTATCAGCAAGATCAAAATTTCATCTTGATAGACTTACAGGAAAAGTGCCCATCATTAAAATTTTCTTTCTCGCATTAAATTTTTCTATATAATTTAAAGTAAGCGTTTCTTTAAGAAAAAGAGTTCAACGAGATTTGGTAAAATATCATAGCAAACTTTTTATTCTTATTTCTGATACTAATGTCATGACATGATTAAGTAATTGGTAGTAATTAATTAAGTAATTACTTAGTAATTTGTCTTTGTAAAAGCTTATAATTTAATTTATTTTATAAAACGTAGGGCTTATTTAAAATTATAATTTATTTTAGAAAAGTAAGTACAAACTGGAAACAATGTATTAATCCATCCATTAGTAATCTAGATTTACATTTAATTTACCTAGATAAATTCATTAAGGAATGTGTCTCCTACATTATTTAGCAGGTAGATGTTTTAAAAATAATTTTTACTTAATTTAATACATAATATTTATACTACTTGCATTTTATGACTCAGTGCTTTATAAACTTAATATTAACTTAGTTATAAGTTCATGAAATATGAAAGACTTGATAATTTCATATACTATATAGATTAAGGTATAATTATGTCACCTCCTAGTCTCGTCAATTATGTAAACGAGATAAGTAGAGAGTACGATAACCAATATGTTCGAAAAAAATTATGTTTTAAAATATAAAACTACTTTAGAGTACAACTAATGTAATTTGGTATTTACTCAAAGTTAAACAGATGTTTAAAACATATGGGCAAATGGACCAAAACAGATCCATTGTCTTATTAAGAAATTAAAAAATGTACTTCATTCTTAATTCAAAATAACTATAATAAAATCATAGTAAATTGTTGAGAAAATACAGTCGTTTTTCTTTCTTCAATTGTTTCATTTTTTTGTATAAATGCACAATTTGTTCAATAAAAAAAAAATCCCCCTGCAGGAACTGAGTGCATACAATATATAATGCATAAATGTTTATAAGTACAATAACATTTTACTTTTGTATGAATACATTCACAGAAATAATCGTTGTGATATCTTCGCTATCTATTTCATTATCATTTACTTAAATGTGTTATAAACTCGTATTAGTTACGCCGTAATGTTGGCAAACAAAAATAACTCAAAAGCTATTTGAGTAAGCAAATTTCAAAAGTGGATAATAATCGTAACAATTTGGAAAAAACGATTAGGTTGTAATATAAGTTTTTTGTTTGATGAAATACTTCACAAGATTTTTTTTACATATTTTCTATTCATAAACAATTTGCAATAACATTTTTTTAATATTATTGGTGCTTAAATATCTGTTATAATACTATGTCGTTTGCAAAAATGTGAAAAGATTGTGTGTTATAATCTAACAAATTTACAAATACTTGTATAATGCCCTCAAATGAGTGAGAAATAAATACATTTTTTACTATTCTTTTTATTTTATTCTTTCACCTTCCGCCAAATTCGTAGGAAATTGCGCTATTGCTTGGCTTGATTCAATATTGAAACAAAGCAAAAAATCAATAAGTTACAATTACAATAGCTGAGGAAATCGACAGAGCATGGTAGTACCACAACCTCATTGATGACAGAAGTTAAGCATAGTAGTCTATTAATTCATTGGACAACGATAACTAGTAATTCCATTTCTATCAGGCCTTAAAAAAACGCGAAGGATCTCAATTCGATTAGTGTATTTTTTTAAATTGACCGCCGTTAAATTGAAGTATAGATGTTAGTGTTGCCCGTAAAAGACTTTCGAGTAAGTTTCCAGTTCGGTAAAAAGGAAAAAGTCTTAAGATTGATCAGAACTAATTATTTTAATTATAATTTATTTTTATTAAATAAGCTAATCGACACCTGAATAACTGTTTAATAGGTTTTTATATAAACACTTCAGAAAATGGTTTTTAAGAAGTCAACTTACCTTGATAGTAGTTTTTGAACGAAACAAAAACTGTCAAAATTAGTTTAGCACGTAAGAGCAGGAAATGTTAAAATAACACGAAACTCAATTAAAATACAAACAAAACTCAAATTATAAAAATAGAAAAACTAGCAACGATCTATGTACCATATTTGTTTTCTTATTGATATAACTTTGTAATAATAAATCGCGAACATGAGTGTTAATTAAAGTGACGTTTATTAAATAACAAAACGAGTAGAATGACCAGTGTTTTTTTTATTCTCTCGTTTAGTATTAATATAAACTAACATGTTTCGGAGTCGAAGTTGGTTCGGCGCGTCTTGGGGAAGGCCTAAAAATCCCCATTCTTTGGAGAGGTTAAAATATCTTCACAACATTCTGTCTAAAAACACAACCGTATCTGAAAGTAATCGTGGTACCCTCGTGGAATCCTTAAGGTGTATTGCAGAAATTTTGATATGGGGTGACCAGAATGACAGCTCTGTGTTCGAGTAAGTATCCTTATCATTATGTAGTTAATGGAAATTTATTGTAATACTGAGTCATTTATATAAACTGTTGCAATCATGTATGTTGTATACAGTTTCATGTTTTATGCCCTGTTGTATATTTGAGGACAACTGAATATACTTAGTTAGATTTCTTATGAGAAACTATTGAGTTTTAAAAAGTTACATTGTATTTTTTAATTTACACTTATTAGTTTCTTATACACATCTAAGTTCCATGATGAGTAAATCAATTAGCAAAATTTAATTTATATACTACATTGGATTTCACATATTAGTAGATTTATAGATGTTCTATAATTTTCATAGTTATCTGCTCTTTCCAGCTTCTTTCTAGAGAAGAATATGCTCTCCTATTTCCTTAAGATAATGAGACAAAAATGTGGAGGATCTTCATATGTCTGTGTCCAGTTACTGCAGACATTAAATATTTTATTTGAAAACATTAGAAATGAAACTTCTTTATGTAAGTAACTATCTTTTGAGTGCAATTTAATCCATATAGAATAAAAAATACATAGCCTACATTCTTACATTCTTACATAGCCTATGTGTAAGGAACACAGAGGCAAACACATTTGAGGAACACAAACTATGTTATATATCTGTGCCAAATTTTATCAAGATCAGTTAAGCTGTTCTGAAGATACTTTTTAACATACATCCATCCATCTAATAAGATAACACCATCAAATAAGATTAACATATAAATTTAAGAAATATTTATTTCATGAAACTCAACCGTTTTAAATTTTACTAAGTTGTTTGTATAAGATTAGCACAAACCAAGAGATATGAGTCTCAAAAGTCTTTTGGACTATTTTCACCTGGGAAATTTAAGAGTAGTGAAAGCAAGGCCTTCTGTCTTATATGACAGAACAACCAATGTTATTAATATTTACCTATCTAATGTCTTGGATGGTTTCTTTTTATAACTTTATTATTTTTAGATTACTTGCTAAGCAACAACCATGTTAATTCAATAATAGTTCACAAGTTTGATATATCAGATGAAGAAGTTATGGCATATTATATTTCTTTCCTGAAGACCCTAAGCCTTAAATTGAATAATCACACCATACACTTCTTTTATAATGAGGTAAGATAAAAATAGTACAACTAAAATTAACACTCGCATCATACAAAATAAGTCAATGATAGGACAGGTGTTTCTAATATTTGCATGAGCAAAATTGTTTCAAAGTTACATTTCTCCTAAGACTCCGTCCACATGGAGTTGAAAAAAACAAACACAAGTAGCCTATGTGTTCTTCCAGACTATCATCTACATGTATACCAAATTTCATTGAGATTCATTTAGATTTTTAGGCTACAAACTCTAACAAACATCCATCCATCCATCTAAATGTTTGCATTTGTAATATTAGTAAGAAGTTAGTTATGATAGATGATTTTTAATGTTCATTTAAATTCTCCATAGAGACAGTGCAAGACTTCTTTTATCAAATTTTTATTACTTACATAAAATTAATTTATTAAACTGATATTGAATACTCGTACGACTTTTTTGATAAGGTTTTATCTTAATTAAAAAAATGTTTCTTGAACTGCATGAATGTAAACTTAATGAAAATAGTAATTAACTTGATAATAGTTGTAGTATAAAAAATGTTATTATCATTCTTTAATAATTGTACTGTTTAGGCTTTTTGTAGATAATTTGCGGCCTGGAGTTAAATAGATTGATTTATCAAAATACACTAACTATAGCAATTTTTTTTCCGATTATACTGTCTTTACTCGCATTATAATAAAGTTTTGACTTTAAACCATAAAAAATATGCTTTATTGTATTTTTTTGTCTGCCTTTCAGCATACAAAAGATTTCCCATTGTACACCGAGGCAATTAAGTTTTTCAATCACCCTGAATCAATGGTTCGAATTGCGGTGCGTACTCTTACGTTGAATGTATACAGGGTGCAGGATGCCAGTATGCTTCGGTTTATAAGGGATCGGTAAGATTTTTCTTCACATTTAGCGAGGTCTTGTAGCCCACTGAGGGTGACTTAGCTATAGTCAATAATACTGACATTGCAGCTAGGATTCTCTGAATTGAAAGATATAATATTTCTATAAGAAATCATCTATTAATACTAGCTTTTGCCCTCGGCTTGGTCCGAGCGAAATAAAAACAATAGGTAGGCTATGTGTTCTACATTTGTGATTAATTTTCTCTAGATACGTTTAGCCGTTCTGTAGATAAAAATTATAAAAAAACATCTATCCATTTATCTAAACTGTCGTCTTTAGTGAGATTAATAAGATTTATTAGCTAATATGTGTGTATTAAGTAAATATTGTTTTTTACAGGACAGCAGCACCTTATTTTAGCAACTTAGTTTGGTTTATAGGAAAGCATATACTGGAATTAGATGCATGTGTCAGAAACGATGCTGAGTAAGTGACAATATTTTAAAAAAATAACTTCCTTATTATTTATTTCTTATTTAGCAAATTATATTTTTTCAGTCATCAATCTCAACAGAAATTAGACGATTTAGTTGCGGAACATTTGGATCATCTACATTATATAAATGATATTTTATGTCTAAACATTCCTGATCTCAATGACGTTTTGACCGAACATTTGTTACACAAATTACTTATACCTTTATACATTTATTCTTTAACATCTGAACCTAATAAAAGACCTGTTTCCTCTTCACCTTATAATAGAGATCATATTCAAAGTATAGAAGTTATTACAAGGAATTTAGAAGCTATTTTAAAAGGCAAAAACACTGATACACCAACAAGAATGAACTATCCCATACAAAGAATAGAATCGGAAGAGGAAACTAAACCTTCAGTATCGTGTGTTGTCGCTTTATTTTTACTATCTCAAGTATTTTTAATTATAACACACGGACCAATAGTTCATGCTCTAGCATGGATAATACTGCAATCAGATTTATCAGTATTCGAAGAAGGTGCAACTAAAATACTAGAAATGTATCTAAGTAAAGCAAAAACTAATGTCAAATTGGAATTCTCAAAACCACAATTAAGTTTGGAGAAAGCTCTAGAAACATCCGGACAAGAAAGAGATTATACAACACCTGAGTACAGTGGTGCAAAAGGTTTCGGTTACGACACAGATCATTCCAGTTGTGACCTTGATCCGGAACTTGTGTCGACTTCCCTACCTTCTACATCACATATTAGTGAAACTTCAAGTATAGCTCACGATTCGACCGAAGATCTAGTGACTCAAATACAGTCTATAAAAACTTCGATAGTATCAGCACAGAATATGCCAGATTCTCCATTACCGGATTCCGGTATCGATTCTAGTTCATCCAAAACATTGTCAGATTTAAATAATATAACCGATGAAGAGAAACAGAAATTACTAGCTGTGATGCCGAGTACATCAACTGAGAAGAATTTAAATATAGAAAATGTATTAGAGAAAGAAACTATAGAAGTAGATAAAAGGCCCTTCTTGAAGACGGTTCTAGAATCTTTAGATTGCAGTGAAAACGATTATAAAGCGTTATTCGCTTTATGTCTATTATTTGCTTTAATAAATAACAAAGGTGAGTTATTCTAGAAGATTTTAGCATGTTACTTGATCTTTTGATATGAACTAATTATTTTCTTTTTCTTTGCTTACATTTGGTATTAGTCGGTAAGAATTTTTCTATTGTTGAAATATTAAACTACTTTTTCAATGTTTAAAACCTAATAATTTATTTCTAGGAGTGAATACAGAGCTTCTGGATACATTATTGTGCCCTGAAGTAGAAGATACATCAAGAAATTCAACCACAAGTATTAGAGAGGAAGGTACAGAAGATGCAAGTGAACAGAGGGAGACTCCAGTGCGAACCAAGCGACCTCTACAAAGTTTCAATGCACTACTAATAAATAAATTGATGGCTATTGCTAACCTCAGTTGTAAACCAGGTAAGATATATCAGAGAAAAACAAACACGTCGGCGACAAGTCGGTATTAAGCTCTCTTTACACGCTCAGTTTTATCTGACAGTTTTATCGGAACAGTCCGACGTTCAGATAAATGTAACAAAACTGGGAACTTCAGATTTACCTACATACGTAAGATTTATCCGAACTATCCCACTGTTTATAAAACTGAGCGTGTGTAGCGGGCTTAATGTACCTAAATTGACGAAAGAACAAGACATCTCGATATAATTTTTGATACTTGTTAGGATAAAATCTGTAAATAAATGAGTGAAGACCTAACCAAAGAATACGATTTAAAAAAATTGCCCAACTTTTGGTTTCTTTCCTCGATATATGTATTTTCATTACATTATGACATTTGTGCTAGGTTCATACTTGGCTGTTATAGGCCAGTAGTGCTAAATAACTGGATTGGCATTCAACTGGCATAGTGTGAACCCGAATTGGCGAGTGCATACAATCCATGCCTAGCCTGTGCTACTGTCCAATTGTACTGGCCAAGTGTGAGTCGCGTATTTTTTTCTAAACCGATTGCGACTAGTGCGATATAATTCGACGTTACACATTCCAGTGAAGTGAACTGACAAGTGTAATAAAAATACCGAGTAACTAATTTAGCAAAAAATGACTCTTTGTGCCATTGTTTTGCAGCTAATTTTATGATATTTTGTCATCTTTCTCCTTATCCTATTCCCGTAGGATCGGCGCAACAGGTTTTTGTCCTCTACATAACTCTATCATACGTCATCTCAGTCAACACTCCCTTTTTGATAATGTCACCTTTCACACAATCCATCCATCTAGATCTACCTCTACCGGTGTACCACACTCATAACTAACGTTCTCCTTGTTACATGCGATTCATCCCATAACATGCCATACCATAACCTTATACTTCTCACTTTTTCTACAACAGGCTAT